TTTTCCCCAGACAGGAATTTACAATTATAACCTCATATATCAACCCGCACGTACTAATAAAATTCTGAAGAGCAATGCAATATGGCTGAAAAAATCATTTCAACGACATTAATTATTTTTTAGTATTGTTTTAAAAGTGCCGTGGAACCCCGCCTTACGCCCGCCCCGTTGATACAACTATCTCTTTTTTACGGCCACTTTATACTGGCCCGAACAAAAGCTCAGCTAGATACTTTGTTAGTTCAAGAACCCCTTAAATACGTACGGTCATCCCGTTAAAACGGCCAGACTTTTGTAGCCCGTTGATGACCGGATTAACGGAGCTCCACTGTATCAGGCTTACCTTTTACATTTATCACATTCCTGGATAAAGACAGACAGAGCAAAATGATTAGTGTTTCATTTCTAGGCACACTAGAACAGTCACGAGATCACACGAGGCATGACGCGCCGTGTTAACTTACCATTGTTACATTACAGAAATACTCAGTGATCGGTCGGTCTCGAGCTTCTCTTATTCCTCGCTGACGTTCCTTCTGCTTTTCAGCTTTTTTTCGAGCTCCTGTCTTTTTCTTCGGCATTTTGCTCTTGTATTCTATAGACTTCAAAACTTCTAGAATTTTGAGAGGCACGTATAAAAGGAATCCATGATGGTATTAAAACAGGCAGGCGTTTCTTTTATGAGGGAAGTCTGGGGCGATTACACAGAGGAAAACCGCTGTCCACAAGTCATGTAGCCTGGGCAATAAACCGAAGGGAATTTTTTTTTTTTTTTTTGGAACACCCATATAAAAAGCCGTGGGTGCTCGTCGTACCTTTTAGACGGATTCCGCTGAAACTTCGAGCAATAAGTGCAAAAATTATTTACTAAAATTCTACTTAGGGCACGGTAACTTTTTGAATACTATTTGAAACATCTCACTATAATTCATTTCTCTAGGTGACCCCGCGATTAAATCCCCAAGCATTCTCGAGAAATGTAATGTCAAACTTCGTAAGAATGCTTAATGCGTGTGTTATTGAGTTTTCAACTAACGCGAGACGTCCGTTTTAATAGAAATATGGATAACTTCAAGTTCAATTTTCAATTTTCTCGCCGGGTCAGGTTGAGAGCTAAGGTCTCGATAAGATCTTCCTACCTTTATTCAAAATATTACCATGCCATGAGGTTGTTTTGGTAACTTAACTTTTGCCATTATTGTTCGAATTTTCTGCGGAAATCATCTTTAAAAAGCGGTTTTGGTACCTAAAGGTGGTCAACCTCAAAAGGTCCACAGCAGCAGCTTTCGCGGTATCTTTTACGGTACTGAGCCGAAAAAAAATATTTGATAGAGTAAAAGGCATTCGAACAAAGCAATGTCTTTTTTGTCATTAAAGATTACGAAAGCGTCAGTAATGTGTAGTTTAAGGGGTGAAAAAATTTCAAGCCACACCCACAAACAATATCTTGGTGCTCCTTAAGGTGGCCGAACACAGTTTTCGCGCGCGCTTTTGCCGACGCAATTCAGCGCGCGCACAAGGATTGCAAAAACAAACATGCCGTCAATAGAGCGATCATTTTATTTACTCAACACCCGCAGTATCTGTGCTATTTT